GAGCTATTCTCGTCACCAACACTGATCAAAAGGAGTTGTTTTTAAAGAGCGTCACCATTGAAGACTCTCTTCATTTCGACTGTGAATCTTGGATTCAACCAGAGAAGCTTCACTCGGAGAAAAGAATCTTCTTTTCTAATCAGGTATAAATCTTTATCAATTTTGCTCATGAGAACGTGAAATAATGGTGAAATGGCATGAACTGAGTTCCCTATTTTTTGCAGGCATTTTTACAGAGCGAAACGCCAATGGGACTGAGAGAGTTGAGGAAGAAAGAGTTAAGGGAACTGAGGGGCAATGGAGAGGGCGTTAGGGTTTCATCGGAAAGAGTTTATGATTACGATGTTTACAATGATTTGGGATACCCTGATAAAGGAACCAAATTTGCAAGGCCTGTTTTAGGAGGAGAACGGCGACCTTATCCCAGACGATGCCGTACCGGACGTCCTCCCACTGAGTCAGGTGAGTTTAACTTCGTTATTCTTTCGATAAATCTTAATATATATATGAAGCAATTTAATTATGGTGGTTTCCAACTTTCCATGAAAATACACAGATCCCAAGTCGGAAGCTCAGGCAGACGAGTCGACGCCGATGTATGTACCGAGAGACGAAGCATTCGGAGACGTGAAAAGACAAACAGTGGACTCTAGAAGCTGGAAAGCGATGATGAACAATCTTTTCCCTTTCCTTAAACATTCAACAGAAGGCGATGAGGCAGTCAATTCCTTCGCTGATATCAATAATCTCTACAAAGAATGCCGAAACCATTCGCATCTTAAGATGATCAAAGATTCGACGGCCGACGCTTTCAAATTCGACCCTCCGATCATCGTCTCCAGTAAGAGCTTTTCTTCAACTCAGGAATATAATATCTTTAATCATTGCAGATAAATTAATAAAATTCGGGTATGTGAATATTTGCAGGAGATGCTTCATGTTGTTTACGAGACGATGAATTCGGTCGGCTAACGCTGGCCGGAATGAATCCCTTAAGCATCGAGAGGCTCGAGTTTTTCCCGCCGGTGAGCAAACTGGAAGCCTCCGTTTATGGTCCACAAGAATCTGCTTTGAGAGAAGAACACATCATCTCTCATATTGATGGCATGTCAGTACAGCAGGTACAATGAAAGAAAATGACAACTTTTTTGATTTTGCAACTTGCCATTGTTACTACGTACGAAACATGTCATTTTCAAGAAATGAATTGGGTAAAATACAATTTAGGTCATCCAATTATTTGAACTTTTTGCAGGCAATTGAAAAGAAAAAACTGTATATATTGGACTATCACGATGCCTACCTTCCATTTCTCAACAGCATCAATGCTCATCCTGATCGAAAAGCCTATGCAACGCGGACGGTTTTCTTCTTGACTCAGTTGGGAACATTGAAGCCGATTGCAATTGAGCTCAGCCTACCGCCTATGAACCCTTACACTCCCACGAAACAAGTGATTACGCCTCCGGTTGATGCCACTTCTTGCTGGCAATGGCAATTAGCTAAAGCCCATGTTTGCTCCAACGATTCCGGTGCTCATGAATTGATTCAGCACTGGTATGTAAATTCCCATCCCTTAAAACATCATCGGTTTAGTTATTCCGATTTAGGGTTTCGATGAATGAGAAGTTTTTAATTATGTACAGGTTGAGGACTCATGCGTGCATGGAACCGTTTATCATAGCGGCACGACGAAACTTAAGTGTAATGCATCCCATCCACAAGCTTCTTCATCCTCACATGCGATACACTTTGGACATTAACGCCAGAGCTCGAGATCTTCTCATCAGCGCCGACGGATTGATCGAGTCCCTCTTCTCCACCAAAGAATGTTCAATGGAACTTACTTCTTTTGCTTACAAAAACTGGCGTTTCGACATGGAAGCCCTCCCTTCAGACCTCATCCGAAGGTATGTAGGATTGTTATTTGTTCAGCTCGATTTCGACTCGGTTTTGTTTAAACATATAGATCTCGAGATCGATTCTGATTTTTACTTTTACAATGCAGAGGGATTGCAGAACCAGACCCAACCGAGCCGCATGGCATAAAATTACTCATCCAAGACTATCCATATGCCAACGATGGGTTACTTGTATGGTCAGCCATTGAGAGACTGGTTAAGGACTACGTGAACCATTACTACCCAGATTCAATTAGTATCCGATCCGATCCAGAACTCAATGCATGGTACTATGAGTCCATCAACGTAGGCCATGCCGATCTCCGCCACGAGACCTGGTGGCCCGAGCTATCCAATCCGGAGGATCTCGTCTCCATCCTGACCACCCTCATCTGGATTTCATCGGCAGAACACGCCGCTCTTAACTTCGGGCAGTACCATTACGGTGGATACGTCCCCGTACGTCCACCGTACATGCGACGACTCGTCCCGAACCAGGACGATCCGGATTACCCGAGTTTCGTATCGGATCCGGAAGGGTATTTCTTATCATCTTTGCCAAGTTTAAAAGATATGACGGTGTTAATGTCGGTACTCGACATCTTATCCACACATTCAGCTGATGAAGAGTACTTGGGGGACAGAAAAGATCTCTCGGCATGGAAAGGAAACCCAGAGATCACAGAAGCATTTTACAAGTTCTCAATGGAGATGAGGGCAATCGAGAAAGAGATTGAACAAAGAAACAGCGACCCGAAACTTAGAAATAGATGTGGGGCTGGGGTTTCACCTTATCAGCTATTGGTGCCATCTTCGGAACCTGGAGTTTCAGGCAGAGGAGTACCTAATAGCATTTCAATATGAATTTTGAAGAGATTGAACGATGAATTTCATCTTTTGAAATCCTTTGTAGGGAATTAGAAAGATTAAAGGTCATAGTACTTATGTAAATATCAGTATATACATGTATGTATGCATGCATGTATACTCATCAATCATTCTTACCGTATGTTGTCTTCATCTAGAAAAAAAGGAAAAGAAGATAAATTTTTCTCCGACAGTGTCGCCATCAGTTTGTTTAACCATAGATAATTAGAGGACAACCAAACCTAACTGGAAATTATGCCCTACCTTCGATGTTTGCAGCATATGTTTCGACCTTTTTTTAATACAATCTTGTCTCGACAAATGTACGGCTCTCAAAACCATAGCATAATCTCAATAAGGAGACATAAATCGGTCGAACCAAAATAAATTCATCTAGCTTTCTATAAATATTAATATGTATAGATTATGGCTATTAGATTAAATTAGTTTGATTATAGAGAACAAGAATCTTCAACGAGCCCCGTGCAAGCAATATTAAATATATATTTATGCATTCATTCTTTAGAAAACGAATATTTATCCCTCTAAAGATAATTTTTAATCATTTGATATTGAATGTTTATATTTCTAATGTTTCTTATGTTCAAATTTAGAACTTTAAAGAATAACAATAATTATTTTACCATCGAGATCATTTAATTCATGTCATAATTATACCTTTAATATTAAACATTTGAAACCTTCCAGATTACTGCATTTCTTTTTCTTTTTTTTAAATGACCAAAAATATCAATCGTGTTTTGCCATTAAAGTACAACCCTAATATAGTACATCTGTAGGTGGAATCTTGTATTGTCGGATGCTAAACGATAGCAAGCCACTGGTAAGACGCCGCGTTTTGTTAGTTAGGTAATGCAACGAACTGCAGGCCATCTTTCTATTCAGATAAGCCTCACATTGGACGTCCCTGATTTCGCCACGTTTGATATTTAATTCAACACTCACTCGTGTCCCTTCTGATTTAATAGGCTCCTAATCTGCTCAAGAATCTCATAATCAGTTTTAGACTTCTAGTTGATTCTATTGTTTTTTTATTAATTTTTAAATAAAAAAATTTAGGCAAAAAGACATCAAGGATTCATGTATTTTTTAAAAATTAATGTGACTCTTGAATTATTATTTTTAATATAATATTTCAACTCAAAAATAAAATTAAATACAACCATTTGATCAATATTTTTTCTTTGTTGATCATTATAATACTAATATGATAGATCATGATACTGACGTGACATTTTACAGTGTTGACATGACACTTCAATATGACATATTAACGTGGTAGATGACATGACAGATTGATTAAATTGATAACTAAAATATAACAGATAAATTGTCATGTTAAAACCATATAGCACCACGTTAGCATTGTAAATCGGCATGCCAGTGCTGCAACGATCAACAATAAAAAAATATTGATCAAATAGACACATTAGGTTTGTTTTTTAAGTTGGAGGGCCACATTTAGAGAAAAAATAAAATGATAGTCATATTTTTTAAAAGTATAGGGACCTTTGATGCCTTTTTTCCAAATATTTATTTTAGCATTAAAAGTTAAAACTAATTAAAACTAAGTAATTTTTAGTTTAAATATTAATGAACATATCGAGAGACTCCAATGGTAAAACATAGTGTTATTCTTCCTAAAAGTCTTAAGCTTGAGCAGTCGAGTAGTATTTGTTCTAAATAATTTAAACCATTTGACAATGAAAGTTCAATCACCATGTTGCAGGTGCTTGTTCTCGGACTCGTGACTTCTAGGAACAACAACGATTCCTTTAACTATTGAGATAAATTGATTCGTGCTGAAAAATTTTCTTAAAATATACTATCTTTGTAATTATTTAGAAAAATAATTTTCCTTTTAATATTAATATCACTCTAAATATTCTATAGAAAAAAGATCTTATGATAAATATAAAGATATGTTTGTAACTATTTATTAAAAATATGTACTTAAAAAATTTAATATTCAAATAAATATATGTACTAATCAAATTCAATAAATACTGATATTGGAGTATATCCATCATACGTGGATCCTCGTTATCTAGTCTAAAATTAGTAGACCGGACCGATCCGCGCCACGTTGGAAAATCCAATTTCTCGCTACATGTTAGCGGCGGCTCGTTCGATAACGTTGGTTGAAAACATTTGACCCGATCTTAGTACTATAAAAGCCAAACTCCCATATCCACAAAAACTAAAACACTAATGGCCGGAGCAGCGACGAGGATTCACCGGGATCACCGGAGTTTGATATACGGTTCTCGGATATTCGAGGTACCTGGTAACCTGGACTCGAATTCGTCGGACATGGAATTCGAGTTTCTGGAGGACGGCGATGAAGAAGTCACCGGCAGCTGCAAGGAAGACGATGGTGAAGACAACGACGACGAGTCGAAGGGGAACGAAAGGGAGAGGTTTTGGGAGATACAGCACCATCTTTTGCAAGCAACGCTGTGTAGGAGTAGCTCTTTAGAATCGAGGATTAGAAACGCCGTTAGAGAAGCTTCGAAAGAGATTGAGAGAGAAACGACGGTCTGTGGTTGCGGGAAATCATTAATGGCCGAGCTTTGCCGGAGTTGTCTCATGAGAGAAGTCTTTAGCCGTCTCCAAAACGCCGGTTTCGACGCTGCAGTTTGCCGCTCTAAATGGAGAAGCTCTCCGCATATCCCATCAGGTAAAAAAGATATCATAACAAAGAAAATTAAATTTATGGTTAACTACGTGAGAAATCACTTACGTTTATATTTTATTCACTTTTGGTTACTGATTTTAAAAATCATAACATATGATCACTTTCGTTATTATTTAATTAAGATGTGGTCACTTTTATTTTTATTTAATTAAGACGTGGTCACACCGAGTTAATTGTCGTTAACAATAGTTAAATATTTTAAAATAATCACACATTTGGTTCCTATTATTTATATATTATCTCAATTTAGTCATACTTTTAATAAATTAAAATAAATTTAATCTTCTAATCGAATGATGTCACATGTCATGCCACGTAAGATTGAGCGTTCGATTGAACTGAGTCAAGTCGAGTCAAAAAATTTTGAGTTATTCGAGTTGACGAGTCTTATTTTACAACTTGGAGTTGACTTAATTTTTTTTTTAGTAGAGTCGAGTTTTGAATTTATGTTTAAATTTAATTATAATTTTTTTATAACACTATGATATTATTTGATTCCAATTTAAATAATCTTTTATAACTATATACAATACATGTGTATTTCTTCATATATTTTTCATATGTGATATACATTTATGATACAAAGTCTAGAGACTCAACTCAAACTTGAAAATCAATCCACTAATTACTAAAAATTTTAAGTTATTCGAGTTGTATTTTACAACTCGGTTTGAACTTGAAATTTTTTTGAGTCGAGTTGAGTTTATGAAAGTTAATCCTGCAATCGATCGATGACACGTGGCATTAGGGGTGAGAGAAATTCAAATTGACTCGAAAAATTGATTTTTTCGATCGACACTTGAAAACTTGACTAAAATTAACTTCGAGTTGTAATTTCATAAACCCGACTCGACTCGAATTTTTTTTAAGTTCAAACCGAGATGTAAAATACAACTCGAATAATTCAAAAAATTTCGTAATTTGTAGATTGATTTTCAAGTTTGAGTTGAGTCTCTCTACTTTGTATCATAAATGTATATTACATATGAAGAAATACACATGTATTGTTTATGGTTATAAAAGATCATTTAAATTGGAATCAAATAATATCATAAAGATTTATAATTAAATTTAAGCAAAAACTCAAAAATTTGACTCGACTTGACTAAAAAAAATTCTAAGTCAACTCCGAGTTGTAAAATAGGAGGACTAAATTGAGAGAATATGTAAATAGCAGGGACCAAATGTGTTATCATATCAAAATATTTAACTGTTGTTAACGACAGTTAACTCGGGGTGACCATATCTTAATTAAATAAAAATGAAAGTGAACATATCTTATTTTTTTTAAATCATTAACCAAAAGTGGACAAAACATAAACGTAAGTGATTTTCCATGTAATTAACCCTTAGATTTAATAATTAAACTATCAGTTTTAGTATGTTTTAGTATTTAAATTTTTTTATTTTTCCAAAATCATATTTAAATTTTATTTTTTATTTCATTTTAATATCCACATTAAAAACTTAACGCATTTAGTATCTAAATTATTAGTTTTGATCCGTTTTAGTAATTAAACTTCCAATTCTTTTCAAAGCTTAACGTTGAATTTTGAATAGGTACTAAAATGAAACAAAAACTAAATTTTACATATGGTTTTAAAAAATTAAAAGTTTAAGTACTAAACCGGACCAAAACTAATAGTTTAGGTACTAAACACGTAATTTACCCTAACTTTTTTGTCAACTTCTATAGAAGGTCCCTGCATTTATATTTTTTACAGATAAGTCCCTCACTTTAATTAAAATTTAATAATTTATATTCTCTATTTTTTTTTTTTGAAAAAAGTGTGTTTTCAATCGAGAGAAACATTTTTTTACTACAAGCTATTAGCTATAGTATTTGTCAAGTTGTAAAAAAATGTATGTATGATAAAGTGAAGATATTAGTGCTAAGTTTTGGAGAGGTCAAATTAAATTTTTAAAAAAATTAAAGGGAATTTATGACAAATTTTCAAAAAAATAGAGTTCTAATCAAAGTTTTTTTAAAAAAAATTAATTGGTTTAATGAGAATTAAAAAAATTGTGGAGTGACAAACTAAAATATTTAAAAACTTTAAGTTGTAATGTTTTTTTTTAAATTTTGAAGAGACCAATTTAAAATTTGTAAAACTTTTTAAAGGGCTTAAAGAACATTTCTTGAATTTTTGTTATTGCATGTTAATTTCGAGAATGAACATACACACTTTCAAAAAGGGTAAATTACAAATTTCAACCACTGAACTTTAAAAGTTTTCAATTTTCTCATTAAACTTAATACATTGAGTTTTTTGTCACTGAACTTTACTCTCTCTCATATTTTAGTCACTCGACCGTTGAATAGTTAATGGTGTTAAAAACGATGCCGTTTTAAAAAAACAAAGTTTTCACCAAAACAAAGTTAATTTGGCATCTATATAACATTCCCTTTTAATGTCGTTAACTATTTAAAGGTCGAATGAACAAAAGAACCCAATTATTGAGTTCAGCGAGAAAATTGAATAGATTTAAAGTACATTGAGTGAAATAGGAGAGAGAGCAAAGTTCATTTACCAAATTTGTAATTTACCCTTTCAAAAAATAGAGGCTTAGAAATGACCAAGTTACAGCAAGTACTAAATCTATCAAAAACACATATTAAAGGATGTTTTATACAATTTGACCCAAGTTCTCTCTTCGCTAAAATTGGTCTGTATATTGCAGGAGAGCATAGCTTCTTGGACGTGAAAGAAAATTCAAGTAAAGGTGACGTAAGGGTAGTCATAGAGTTGAATTTCAGGGCTGAGTTTGAGATGGCAAGAGCAAGTGAAGATTACAATCGTTTAGTTCAACGGTTGCCGGAGGTTTTCGTCGGAAAAGTGGAAAGATTGAATAACGTAATAAAAATCTTATGTCTGGCAGTCAAGAAATGCATGAAGGAAAAGGGGATGGAGGCCATGGAGGAAACAAAGGTACATGCAAGCCAAGTGGTTACAATCTTGTGAACGGAATTCATCGACGAAATTGCTGCCGGTGGGAAATTCCAGTCGCTTGCCGAAACCTAGGGCCTCGATGCTAACTGTAGATTTGCACGATAAGTTGTCCGATGTTCGTTGTTCAGCAGTTGAGGTTGTATAAAGATTGTGATATATGTGTGTTTATATAAGATTTTGTCCTTAATTTGTATCTTTAACTCGTATATAAACTTCGTGTGTTCGATAACGAGCGAAGATAAAAGAACATAAGAAAATGGAAAGGAGAAATCCTAACAAAGGCTCAAAAGATCATAAGAAAGCAAAGCATCAATCATAATCAACAAATTTTAGAGGCCTTCGAATCTTGTAGTCGGTTGACTTACTTTACCAAAGCCTCAGGTACATAATCTACATTGGAAGAGGATGAGGGTAATGGTGAAGTTGCTTCGATGAGCCATCACCTCCACAGCTCTTCCATCGGAATCCCCCGTTCCTCAGCAAACTCTCGGAACTGCTTCATTTTCTGCACAGCAACAACTGTAGCTCTAGCATTGTTAAGGGCATTTTTACTTCCGAGTTGCTTGCCCAGTGCATTCTCGACGCCTGCCATTTCAAGAACAATTCGCACGGCACCTCCCGCAATCACTCCTGTACCAGGTGCAGCTGGTCTGAGCATCACCGTCGCTGCCCCATAATCACCCTCCGATCTGTCAGCCATTTCCCAATGACATCAACAAAAAGCATATCGACATGCCATCTTTCTCTCACCATTGTGTTAGACTAATCAAGCAGCAAGCTAGCTACCACGGCAATATATAATATACATATATGATCCTAGTGAGTTATCTGGAACAGGTATGACAGTTTTCCCACATGAAATCTGTCTACATGAAGCCTCCAGATCTTTAACTTATAGCAACCGCAAAGTATCGTCGTGGGCTACAAATACTTCAACAAGTTTGCCATTCTTGATTACAAGAATTACAGCACCATCACACATTTATCAATTAGGGCTTTTCAAGCTCAGCAGATAACTCCAAGACCATAAAATCTTCACATCACAACACACAATCGCCATACAGGGAGAGCTCAAAAGATCACATTCAATGGATAAACATTTTGAAAAGGCCACATTCTTAAGTACAACAAACTAAAAGATTATCCCATCACCTTCAACAAATGGATTCGCAATAATCAACCAGAAAACTGGGAATCACAGAGTAACCAATTTTACTCGTGTCCTGGACAAGTATATGTATATGCATCGAACACGAAGATCATATGCTAGTACATTAAAGAACAACAATTGCATCATTTAAACAGACTAAAATCACATCCTTTTCAGCAAAAAAATGTCAATGGGAGCAATCAAAGTCCTTACCGATGTGGGAAAGTCAAATACTTTGTCATGGGAATTGCAATGATATTCCTTCTAGCATTCGTAGCTGATTTCTGAACAGCATCGATAACCTCCTTGGCTTTCCCAACACCGACACCGACTCGTCCTTGCTTGTCACCGACCACAACAATGGCTCTAAAATGCAGCTGTTTCCCACCCTTAACCGCTTTAGTAACTCTCCGGACTTGAACCACTCTTTCCTCAAACCCATCCTTTGTTTTCTCTTTCTTAACTTTCCCAAACGCACTCATCCTTTTCACTTTGGAATCCATCACGTAAACATCGTTGCCCAAAACCGAGACACCGCTGTACGCAGGGCCATATAGTTCCTCGTAAGCGGCGGCGACCTCGTCCTCAGTTTCCTGGGAGCGTCGTCGAAAGAAGGAGGCGGAATGAACCCTTCCGGCGGCGTTGGTGGGTCAAAAACTACGTTTTCTTCGGGGTTGAGGTCGTCGGAGAAGGAAGTGTCGATGTCGGAGGCTTTGGATTTGGGTGCGAAGGAGAAGGAGCGGAATGAGCAGCGGAGAGAGAAGAATTCCGAGGGTTTGGGAAAGAAGAAAGATAAGGGATGGGAGAGCGAATTGTGAAGGAAGATAGAGGCGAAGCTATTGCTGCTGCTGGTGGTGTTGCCGCCATGGATATGTCTAAACGAGCGAAATGGAAGTGAAAGCTTATCTTTCCGAAAGAATAACAGTGTAGAACCGGATTGGGGAGACGATGTAAGGCGCTACCCGGAATTGGACCGAGTATTTCCAATTTGGTACCACCACGACGCTGGCAAAATACAGGTAAAAATGGCGTAAAAGATTCTTATACTTTTGAAAAATATAATAATTTGATCATAATGGAATCTTTAATTAAAAAAATAAATTTAATATGATTATTTTATTTTTTTATTAATGGTTGTTATAATGTTGATACGATGATTCATGATGCTGATGTAACAGTCAATCATCAATTTAATATATCTAATCATATTATTTGTCACGTTATCAATTACAACGAACTATCACATTAGTATCGTGATGATCAATGACGAAAAACATTGATGAAATTATCACATTAGATTTATTTTCTATGTTAGAAGGTCCCATTTGAAGAAAAAATTATACGAGGATTACATTAATTTTTAATGTTTGGGAAATATATAATTTAATACTTATTTTTATAAACCAACGCAAGTTGCATATTTTTATAAATGTTGAGAAATCAAATTTATTAATTTATTTAAAATTAGGATTAAATTGAATAATGTATATAAGTTGAGTGCTTGTTATCATGTATATCAAAATCTTGTAAAATTGATGAAAATATTAGATTTTTTTATTAATTATATTGTTAATCTTAATTTCTCACTTTGATAATTGAAAATATTCAATTGCTCATTTTTATTAGAGGGACCAATTTGCTTAATTTTAAAATTGAGAGAGACCTAAGAGGTCTTTTTACCATATTTTTAGAATAAAATATGGCCCAAAAACAGACAATGACCTATTAAAAGTTAAAACCCAATAGTGGCCCAAAGAGATGGCTTAATCAATTATCATCTTCGAAGCACGCGAGTGAATAGGTTAGCGGGAAAGGGCAGCTCACGCGCAGCTCAGAAATTCGCATCACTACATTCACCACTCCGGTCTCAGCGTTTCAAATTGCCTAGGAGCTCTGCCCCCGATGTCTCTGTCAACATCCACCGCCGTCTCACTCGTCGGGATATACGACGAAAGCCGCGGCGCCTCGACCGCCCAACGAGAAATTAACAGCTCCGATATGGAAATCGATGACGAAGAAGGGGAAGAGGATTTGCAAGGCTCCTCGAATCGAAACGGTTAGTCAACCTTGAACCATTGGTCGACCGAATTAAGGGTTGATTGATTTTGAATTGTTTCAAATTTTATGAAAACTGAGTTTTCTAGTAGGAGATTAAATACCTGTATTTGTTCAAAGGTTTTGTTTTTTTTAAGGAAGTTAATATTGGATGGCTTTAGAAGATTGTAGTGTTTTAGGAGCAAAGGAAATTTTAAAACAGAGCAAACAAGAAAAAGACATTAACATTCAATTTTGAAAAAGATTTATAGATCTTCCTTTCTGTACATTTATTCAACAAATAGATTGGCTTGTCAATTGAGCCTATGTACTTTAGTGTTTTAAGAAATTTTGCAACCAGTCTTTTGATTTGCAGTTAGCTTTAACACACTGTTGTACAGAGCTGTGACCTTTTAGCATCATCAGAATTGGTCTTACTTTTTCCTGCAGTACTGCAATTGAAACAACAGTGCAGGCTCTTGAATCTATTTGTTCTTCCCTTTGGCTGGTGATTAAATGTTTAAGTCTCCAGATTACAATAAAAGAAAATGTGAAGACTTTGTATTTTATTCAATATTATTCTCTCGATGCCCTTTTGGCTGTTTAATCCATGCTATTTCCCTCAAAAAACATTATTCTGTCGTGTGACTGGAAATGTTGGATGTTTCTTGCCATCTTGATTTGCTTTTACTTCCATGTAGATGCTGCCAACGTCCTGGAGTCCAGGGGGCACGATGGACAGCTCGGGTCAGATTCGTTAAGTACTCCTGGAGATTGCGGAACAAGAATACCATTCAAAACCCTTGATGCAGTAGAGGGTAGTGCTAATTTTAAATTTTATAGTCTTCCAAATGAACTGTTGACAACTCAAGAGGAGGATCGATGCACAAAATATGATAGTTCCAAGTATTCAGTATCTGGAAAACAGCCTGCAAAGGAAAAGGCAATTCAAGAATATACATTTGGTGGAAAAGATGCTCAAGCCATTTTAGAAAGAAAAACCCTTGAAGGCTATCATGATCAGCATGCTGAAGAGGTTGCTGTCAATGAGATTAATTCCATTCCCGTCGGAAATCACTCAGGTGAAGGAGTTCAGAGTGGTCTTGGTTTTGAGGGAAAAAGTAAGCCAAGGGTCGTGCAAACAGAGGATGATAAGAGGAGGATAAGATCAAGGTGTGGTGAGACCTATGTGCCTTTTATAACATAGAAACTAAGTTTCATATTATGAATTTTTGCCTTCCAAAGACTATACATTCATTGATTTACTAATCACTATGTTTCACAGGTCTGCTGCTTCTCAGACTCGTGCTGGGAGTCTATCCCCCGGCAATAATAGTGAGAACAAACGCCCTGCGCTTATATGTGACTTCTTTTCTAGAGGATGGTGTATCAAAGGAAGTTCATGTAGATTTCTTCACATAAAAGATGAGAAAAAGCCTGAACAACAGCCTGAGGAAGGTGTAGCTGTAGCAAATGGGAAAAGAGCTGTTGAGATTGATCAAGGTAATAAATATTTTCTGTATTATGGATTATCCAGAATCTTCTCTACATGCTATTTTAATATGAACCTTATGCTTCAGGTTTTAGAAATGCTGCTGAAAGATCAAAATCTCCTGCTTCTACTGATACTCGGCCTTCGTCTGTTGTAAATAAGACCGGGTTATCTTCTCAGTTCTTTTCTGAAAGAATCTTTCCATTAGGGCATGATGAGAACCAAAGATTGCATCTATTTAATGAAACTTATAAGTTGCCTCCACTCCATCATAAGGATAAATCTATGGGCACTTCCCCTTCCTCTCAGTGGTTTTTTGCATCTATAGATGATGTGGGACCACCTAAGGGTGTAAGACAAAATGGTATAGGTCAGAATTTGTCTGATGATAATTATGCCAAGCTGGCTTCTCTGGGTGATAAAGATACATCTTCCTTCAGGAATAGTTTTATTCCTGAGTCATTGAGCGGCTCAGTTACACGATTGGACAATGTATATAATGAGAATCAATCTCATTGTGTCTCGACATCCCTACCACCATTGCCATTAAATTATTCTTCAAGTGCATGCTCTCTTGGTGCTCAAAAGATGTTGGACAACGACATCGAGCATTATACTTCCAGGTTTTCTTCTTTGCTGCAAGGCTGTTCCCCCTTCTCAAATTCTAAGTCTGAAAACCTTCTTGTAAATGATATTTCCAGGGATCCATTTCCCTTTTCTGAATGTAGAATAAACTTTTCTTCAGATGACTGGGAACCTTCAGTACCCTTTCAACCATCCTTTTTTGTCACTTCTGGCTTATCATCCCCGCAAAGCCAGTATGATCCTGTTCGTGATAGCATTGATTTGTCTAATGCAGGAGAGAGGTCTCTTAAATTTTCTTTCTCTAATCCCGGTCCATCACTCTTGAATGTAGCATACCCACAGGCATATGGTGATTCCACATCAACGGGACCACTGATCCCTGAACATAATGATGATAAAAGAACTGCATCTTGTCAGAATGAATACCATGAAAATTTGGTCAACGATAATTGCTACCCTTCTGAAAAAGATTCACTAACAACCGACGCAAATGATGGAACTTCTGTAGTTGAGATGCAAAATGGAAATCTAGTCAAAGAAGAGATGTCTTCAGTCGTTTCTCATGTCAAAGACAGTTCAAAGGCAAAAAAAATTGATATGGATCATGATTGCAGGCATCGAAGAGGCGAGACTAGATGCAAAAAAGACTTAGAAGTTGATAGAGTTAGAGAAAAGAATGAAATAGATGTTGAGCTTGAGCATAGGGAAGATGGGGATTTGCGAAAAGAATCAAAAGCAATGAGGCATTTCCATGCTGCTCTTGTACATTTAATTAAGGAACTGTTGAAACCAACTTGGCGTGAGGGTCGTCTCAGTAAAGATGCTCATAATACAATAGTTAAAAAAGCAGTTGACAAGGTTCTTGGCAGCATACAGCCTCATCAGGTTCCAACTACCTTCGAGTCAGTTGAGCATTATCTTTCTTTATCCCAACCAAAAATAGCAAGACTTGTTGAGGTGAGAGTCTTTGATTTCAGAGGCACCATGCCGTGCATGTTCTAGAGAATAAATGCTCTGTTTAGTATTGTATTTTTAATGTAATATATTCATCAATGTGACATTATTTTTTCTGTTTTGCAGGGATATATCGATAAATACAGAAAATCTTGAGATGTTAGGCAGAGTGCTTTTGTATCTTTTGCACATTTTATTAATGGAAGTCTTAACTGGTGTCATGGAAGTCTGAATTTTTTTACGAAATGTTTTTGTAAATATTCTCTGTTCCTTTCTTTATTAGCTGTATGTAGAAATAATTTCTACTTCCTGACAGTTGGTAAGTCTAGGAGAATATTTTATTCTTCTTTGCTTGCATTTTGTGAAATTGGCCAAGGAGTTTAAGCTAAACTTTTTATTAGTACAATGGAACATTTAGTTGCAAGGTTACTTGTATGCCAAGCAACATTTTTCATGGATATAAGGTAGGAGTTGTTAAAAAGTATAGGCTTTTATCATAGTGCCTTGCATTATTTAAGAAATTTTTAGGTGGGTTGCAATATGAAACTTAAGAAGTTTTATGCTTATGATATGAATATTGATATTATTGTTTCTTTGCTCCAGATTATGGATCAAACTGGTGTAAAATATGTTTATTCTTTTGTGGAGGCTTACTCCAGTTTGATCATCTCTTTGGCCAGTCTTGCATGTGTTTTGCTAATGACATATGCGTATGGCTGTTCTGCATTATTGTCATAGTTGTAGAATTTTGGAATGCCATGCTCATTTCCTTTTGCTTACAGCATTCCTTTTTTTAGTGAATATATAGTGGGAATCCTTAAGCGGTTGCTTTTTTCCTCTTTTTATGCTGGCTCCTCCTAATGATGTTGCTATTATATGTTTGTTTAGAATCTTATTGCAATTTACATGATTATATGCACAGTTTCACTAGCTTAATAACTTATAGGCTTATTCGATTGCAAGAAAGAAAGAACTCTTATTTTGCAACTGCAAATTTTATTTTATTAAGGTTTGAAAAGAACTAGATCTGGTCGATGGGCAATTTTATAAAGTAATGTGTCATTGTCTGTTGGAAATCTTCATGTACAACTTAAAGCAGTGTCAATAAACATGAATGGTTGCTTCTCATAGGTCTATATGCTAAATTTAGAGAGAGAAAAAACCATGATCATTAGCATCTGGCAACTCCTGAGAACTTTAACTCCAAATCATACACCACAGTCCCTCTGGTTTTCTTTAGAATGCCGTACTTTATATCTTTAAGTTGTTTATATTAGCTTCTTGGTGTGATCCATGAGAATCTTTCAGGGTCATTATGGTTTTCAATCGGAATCTTGTTACTGCAAATGTGCGGTGGTGGTCGTTATGGTTTGTTGTTTTGGCTTAGATTGTGCCGGTTTCGGTAAGAATGCTAGTGGAAATACATTGAATAGATCTCAATTTTCTTCAGGTTTTGATATCTGTTCCAGGTTTACCATATACAATCTCCCAACTCTTGGTCAACTTTGGTATTCCCCGACGCTAGTAGACTTCGGTCCTACTTTTCTTCAAATACCTATGTTTGACAGTTATTTTGGACATGAAAAACCTTAAAAAGAAGGAACATATGCTTGCCAAACATATATTCGACAGTTGCACTTGAATTCTATGGTACCCCGTGTTTTAGTTTTGGCAAGTAGAGGTTGCCATTTAATGTGTTGTGAACATGGTTCATTCATGGTGTCTGCAAATATGACAATGGGATCTCTAAGACATCTCTCTTGCATAGTTATGGGGTGTCCAAAAAGAACGTCAAATTTTACCGTTAGTTTCTATATCATGTGTAAGTTTGGAGTTTAATCACTATATTTTAATTTGGTTAGTTTTAATCTTTGTAGTCTTGATCCAAAAATACATAAATTTAAAATGACCAATTGGAAAATAATGCATAGTATGAATGTTAACCTTAAAATTGGCTTAACAGATTTACAGCTATCGATTTTAAGATTAAAATTTACAATTTTAGCACGTCTAAATCATAATGAAGGAGATGAGTTCGACCCAAAACGAACAATATTTTCAAATTTTTTTAAAAAATAAAATTACACGGTGGTAACACGCGCCGGTGACGTGAGTAGAACCGGCAAGTGTACATCGAGTACGAGTGGGTTCTGGTTCTGTTCAGTGTAGCAGCTTACTGCATAGACCAACTCGTTTGTTCAAGAACGTCAGATTCCTCCTATATTTTGGTCAAATTACATAGAGAATCATCGTATTATGCTTTTTTGAGAAATCTAATCTTTGTTTTATTATGTTTTGATGAGTTTTTAACTCTCAATTCCTTTTATATTACTAATGTGACTGACGGGCATATAATCACTTTAGCTGTGTGTTTTTGAGAGAAATCAATTTTATTTTTTGTGTGGAAAGTGTAAAGCACTTTTTGTTCCCATTCGCTTTTTAATTTTTTTTAAAGACAAAACACATTACAAAAGAGCGAAAAGATCTAGGCCGCGTGTGTAACAGACGACTATTTTCTCATTTCAAGCTCTCACAAAATTATAAATCATTTTATTATATGATATTATTTTATTAAATATTTCAATTATTAAAAGTTATAAAATAATATTTTAAATATAAAGTGTTAATTTTTTTAATTATTAAAAATTAGTAAATAGTCATCTGACTATTCATCAGGTTCTAGATTCATTTTTTTCTTTTAAAAAATCAGTAGTTGTTTAAACTGGATGTTAACATGATGACTGAGATATGATAATCGTTTAAGATTTAAAATCAAATTTTATCATATAATAGTCAATAAATTAACATTCATCTCATAATATTGTCTATTTTTAAAAGAAAAGAACGAGTTTAGAATATAACTAATAGTATAAGGACTATTTTATAACTTTTAATAATTAAATAACTCAACAAAATAATACTTAACAGTTGAATGATTAACTTTTAATAATCAAGAGACTTAATAAAACAATATTCTATATAATCCGGCACCATTTGAGTTCTTTACTCTAAAAATTAATAGATCAAATAGCAGATTAAACTATAAAAAAACATTTTAACAATTGGAACAAATATTTAAATTAAGATTAATTTATGTAAAATTAAAAAAAAAAAACAATTCACGTACGCTAGGAATGAACGGTTTTCCAGATTCCGGGAGGATAGATATTATCCTACAATTGTTACTTCCCAAGAATGTAAAGAAGATTATGATGTATTAAGAAAGTTTTTTTTTCAGCAATTTGATCGAGAACAATAAACAAACAGAAGCCGATGTTTCTCCGTCGCAAAAATGGGAGATTATCACCATAGATCATGTCAACTTAATTCCGATTTTGGGATAAAATTTAAGAGATAAATTAAAAATGATTTTTTTCAAAAAAAATGCTTATCCGGTATTATGATCGACGAATAAAAAAGCAATCAGATGATTTCCGGAAGAGCAGGTTGGTTGAGATCGATGTTGAGAAGCGGACGTGGAGGATCGACGTTGTTGTGGTTCAGATCAACGACGGATGGTGAATCGGAGTCGCTTTGTACTCCGTCGTTAAACGACGTCGCATTGGAATCCCTGTGATCGAATCTCATCAGTTGATACTGTTGCCCTTTCACTAAACCAGGACGAACGAAAGCATCAAGGTAAAAAACTCGAGGACTCGCCACAACCGGAATTCCGGCGGTGGTAAAAACGCCGGCCATTGGCGAAACTTTCTCGAAAGGGAACCTATAGGAGTGAGATCCGAAGCCGGTACCCGCCCCGCGTCCGAGGTTGAGATCTAACGGCGATGAATCGATCACGAGTGCCGGGTCACGACTCGACGACTCCACGGTGCTGCTCCCTTGGCTCAGACTCTGGTTATTGACATTGATTTTATTACCATTATTCAAGTTCTCCCAAGGATTCGGGAAATTAGTCTTGGCCTTGGCGCCACGAAACTGTCGAGCGGCGGCGTCGTAGGCTCTCGCCGCTTCCTCCGCCGTATCGAAAGTTCCAAGCCAAACACGACTTTTCTTACCCGGATCTCTTATCTCCGCCGCGTAACGGCCCCATGGACGCTTCCTCACACCTCTGAAATGAACTTCCTTTCCGGGACCGTTGACGGCCGCCGTTTTATCCCTCGGCGCCATATCGCGACGCTGTATTTGTCTTATTTTTGTTTTGGAAAAAAAGAAGGCTGGAAATGGTGTGGGTTGGGAGAAAAGAGAGGAAGGGACCTAGTGAGCGGTGAGGTGTTATATAGGGGGAAAATAGAAATCGGCGAGCAATTAAAGGGAAATGGGGCGCAGTCAACGAGGGATTTGACTGAGGAGGCGGCTAATATAAAGAGTGGGGCGCGAGTGATGGATTGATGGATGGCAGGTTTGTAAAAGGTAAATTACGCTAACTATCACTGAAATTTAGATAACTTTCAATTTATAACATTAATGTTAAAAAGTTTCAAAACAATCACTAATATTTTTTATTTGTAACAAAATCATACGGTAAAGTGTAAACATGATTATTTAATTATACACAAATTTTGGCAAGAATCAAGTAGTTTTAGTTGTTAAACAGATAGTTATTTTAAAGGTCTCAGGTTTGAGCACCATCGAGTTTAAGGTATTTGATCTTTCTTTGTTAAATAGTTAAGAGTTTTCAAAACAAATACTATCATATGTAATCACTTTAGATTAATAAAAAAAATACAAGAATTTGAGTTAGTATATTTAGTCGGTTGGCTAAGTTATTCACCTTTATTCTCTTATATTCCATTATGTTATAAGTTCTAGACTCACTATAAGTACTCTTCTTCTTTCCTCTAGAGTCCTCCTTCACCATGTCCTCTAAGTAATGTTATGATTAGATTTAGGATGTATAAAAGAAATATACGAGAATTTTAATCTAATTATTGATTTTTTATTTTTATCAATCAAATCATTTAACTATTTAAATTATGTCAATTTAATCATTTTTATTAACATTTAAATGATATGTAATTTAATTGACATCATTCTAAATAGTTAAATGATTCAATTGAAAAATTAAAAAATAGACGATCGTATTAAAATTCCTCTGTAGTCAAGTGATCTCATGTGTAGTTTACTATAAATTATAAGATTTTGTTATAAATAAAAAAACGTTAGTGATTGTTTTGTATCTTTTATGAACTTTAGCGGTGAAAAAAGAGCCCTGCCCAAACTTTAATGATCCGTTGACATATTTTACACTTTATAAAAATCAGGGAGACCAGCTTACGTGGGAAGTGGATTGTCTGGAAGAAATGCATTATTATATTATTTTGACGTTATCATTTATCAAACGGCTGATATTACATGAAGCAAATACGGACAAGTGCGCGTGGGGTGGAGTGAGGCAAAGAAGTTTGAACAAGTTGTCGGCAGATTCTGGTATTTCGGCGCTTGACCTGGATAAGTCATTTGATTTCTGATATATGAGGAAAGAGGCTTTGGTTCCCCTTTTGAACTGCTCGCTTCGATCCAACGTTGAATCCGGCGATTGTTCTTCACGCGTGTTGATTGACACCTAACGAACCCGACTCCCATACTCAAACCGCTGCTGCGCAATTGGTTCCAATTTCAGCCTCAAAAGCTTTCTCCCTCCACTCTCCTCCTTCCCTTCGTGAATCACACTCTCCACTACACCATTTTTGCAGTTATTTTAGGTTTTCAATTGACTTAATAATAATAAAATAGAGTTTGACTCGATTTAAAAGTTTATGAGTAAAATTTTTAAGTTTGACTCGAAATAATAAATTAAAGCTCGAAAATGTTTGAAAAAAATTAAAACTTAACTCGATTGAAGCTTAAATTTAAACTTAGACATGAACCTCAATTACATAAAAATATTATAATATATTTATGAAAAAAATCAACACAATTGATAATATTATTAATAATTTAATTTTTTAAAATAAAATTTTTATATAATATTTTTTTCGAGCTGCTCACGAGTTTTTCGAGTCGAATATTAAGTAGTTTGTTTTGTTTCGTCAAGAATTCGAGTCTAGCTCGAGATCAAGTTGAATATTTATCAAGTTTTGACTGAGTCGATCTCGAGTAGCTCACGATCTATCTCGTCTCATTTACTATAGTAATAATGTTACAAGTACGAGAGCGTTCATTTTCGTTTTTTGATTTATAATTTAATTAAAAATAATAAATTTATATAATTAATAAAAGGTAAAAAGGCATCAAACTGTCTCTAAACTTAGGTGATGTTAATATTATTTTTTCTTATTGACCCTTCTTAGAAAATAAATTCAATGTGACCCTTTGACCAACGTTTTTTCATTGTTGATCATTACAGTACTAGCGTGGCAGTTCACGGTGCTAACATAGCGGTTTACGATACTAACATGACAGCCCATTGTCATGTTTGACTTACCAATTTAGCTCATTTTTCATGTCCTCTGTCATGTTATCAACCACTGTAGACAGTCGCGTCAACATCTTGGATCATCATGTCAGTACGATGTATTGTCACATCAGTATTGTAACGGTCAAAGGTTGAAAAACGTTAATCAAATGACCACATTGAGTTTATTTTCTGAGTTGGACGGTCACATTAAGAATAAAAAAATGACATGAGAGGCATATTAATTTTTTTAAGGTACATAGACCTCATATACATTTTCGCCTTAAAAGAACAAACGTGAAATCTATAAAATTGTATAGAAATTTTTTACTACTACACCAATATTCATTTGCCGGATAAATTTTTATAACCATTATATTATAATAGAAAATATTTTCATTTGCTAACATCGTAAATATGATAAAATTAAAATATATATTGAGGTTACAATTAAAATTATAATCGTGTCAAATAATACGTATACAATAATTACTATACAAATTAATTATTATTAAATATAATTAGATTAATAATTAAAATATATTCAGATTAGACTTCTCATCCTCTCTTCACTCTGAGAAAAACAATTTTAATAATGAGCCAATATAGAGGATTCCCACAGTATAAAAATTATGGTCAATGGAAAAAAAAAATCAGAGAACCTTTCGCCTTTTATGAATCCTGGACAATGGTTCCTCTTCATGCACGAATGATGTAGCTCTACCCCTTGCACCACTGACCTAGGAGTCATGAAAATGAGGCTGAGTAACTAGTCCATATGCATCAGATCTAAGACTTAATGCTCTGGAAGAAACTGATATTCATGAAAAGCCCATGCAGCAGCCTGAGATTATTAGTTCATACGATATCGATAAGTCAACCCATATGACTAGGTAATACAATTCTCAAAACAAGAACAGACAACAGTTTTACATTTTAAACAAACATAAATTCAAGCAAAAATAGGATCAACGATAATGATGCCAGCAACATATCAATTTAGACCACCTAGACTGCTGAACCGACAACAATCGGCCAACAAAGAAAGAAGCCACATTATATAAACAGTAATCCTGTCCCAAGCGAACATGTGTGATGAATGGAAAACCAACATTCTGAAAACGAAAAAAAAAATCCATTACTCCGCCTACTACAGAAACTACACTAAACAATCTATCAAGAAAAACACACACAGCAACAACTTGTAACTTTACAAGTCCATGAATAATAATGCACAAATGTAGTCTACATTCGACAGAAATATACGGATTCGAACCCGACCCGGATCCATAGTGCAGTCCGGGCCCAGCCCGCAAATCATCAGTGGGAGATCCTGGCGGTAAAGGGGCACCTTTTCGCTATTTTTTTTGGAAGGGATCTCCTTCTTTTCTTTCAATCTCCGGTGACTAAACCACATCTGCAACTGCCGATCTGATAGTCCCAATATCTCCGATAATTCCGCTCGTGTCGCTCCCGATGGATAAGTCTCCTCTAAGGAAAAAAAAACACCATAAATTAAAAAATAAAACAACAACAAGAAGTAAAGTGAAAGAGATTGCAGAACATACGAGCATAAGCTTTCTCTAGAGCTTCGAGTTGAAAAGGAGTCTTCATCTGTCGTTTAGGCTTAACGTTGCCTTCATTGGAACTGCTAACGTTTTTACTTGGATTGTTGATCTGATTGTTACTGTTATCATAATTATTATCCTCCCCTTCTGAACCAGCCTCCATTGAAGCAGATCCAGTACAATAATCAAAAAACAAAACTTAGGGTTCCAAACAAAGAAGTTCTCTCTTTTCTCTCTGTCTAATAACACACGAAATATCGTGAAAGTCGAGAAAGGGAAAGGGTGAGAATTAGTATAAAAAACAAGAACAATGAATAACAAAAAAATCAAATGAAAATTAAAATGATAAGAAACAGTGAAATTTTGAGCAAAACAACAACAAGTGTCTTTCTCCAGTCCAATTACACATTCATAATAACAAATTTCCCCCTTTTGGCAACACTAATTAAACTTAAAAATTCTTTTGTTTTCTTCTTTGAATTTGATTTATTATGGGTGTCGGATGTTAAACCAATGTGTTAGCGGTGGGATATTTCAAAAGGATTTATTAAAATACTTTATTAATTAACAAATTTTCTTGTAGAATCTGGAACTTTCTAACGAAGAACAATTCCCTTTTCACTGATCTTCGACTTTATTTTTTAGGTTTATTTATGATATCGATCCTTGTATTTGTTTACAGCTTTTAATTTAGTCACTAAATTGAACATTAAAGTTCAATTCCTTTTAATATTTATTATAAATAGAATTTTCATTTTAAAATCAACATGTTGAATATTAAAATGTTTTGTTTTCAAATTTAACCGTAATTTACTAACAACTGTAATAAATGGATTCTGATTAGGCAAGTTTAGGGACTAAATTCATAAAACTAAAAATAAGTGGCTTAAATTTTATAAGTGAAAAGAGTGCAGGACTGAATGCGCATTAGTTGTTCGATGAAATGACAATAAGAAAACTTAGAATGATGTTACTTTGAATTTTAAACAGATTCATATATATCAGAGCCATAAAGCCCCGGCGTCTCTCAAAATAGGCACCAATTCACCGGAGATATGAGTCGATATAACCTTATCCAATCCACCAAACAACTTCCCTCCGACGAAAACAGCCGGCAGCTGCTCGATACTTCCGTCCCTTCGAATACCGTCGATTCTCGATAGTTCATTTAGCACAGTCGCTTCCTTCTCTTCCACGACTTCGTAGACCGTTGGATTCACCCCGAGCTCTAATAGCAATCTCTTCACGACATGGCACATGCAACAACCACGTCTACCAAAAACTATCACCGAATTCTCTGACACCAATTCCGTTACACCCTTTCCGGTATTGTTGATAACAACTCCCCCATCACCGTCGATACCACCGAAAAAATTGTGAAACGATGAGAGGCGGCTGCCGGTGGCGGGTGTGTATGATTTATAAGGGATTGCTTCTTGCATGGTATATGATGGTAGATCTTGAGGGGGTTTGGAGGGGATTTTATATTTGAGACAAACGTCATTTGTTGACATTGATAGCTTCGTAGAATGAACGTGACCTTAGCAAAAGCCAAATGGAAGACATCTTTCTTCCGAGGGCTTCACAGTTTCTTAATTTGGACTTAAGTTCCATGTGGGGAAAAAAACTAATTTTCCCAAGCATGTACTAAATGAAAGTTTTTAACGTATTATAATGAAACAAAAATTAGACGTTAGATATAATTCTAAAAAAATAAAAGTTTAGGTATTAAGACTGATCAAAACTGATAATTTATATATTAAATACATAATTTACCATTTTTCTTATAAAAAAGGATAAATATTAATGACTTATGTTATAATTTTGACTTAAGTATGCTTGAAGCCCTCAAATTTAAAAAAACAAGTCTTTAAACTGTGTTTATACTTGATTAAGTCCATATACTCCAAAATTTCATAAATTCACTCATTTGATCGATATTCATCGCTAAATCATTTCTTGATAAACTACACATTTACTACATAAACTATCAGTTTTAGTACCTAAACTTTTAATCTTTTTTAAAATCATACTTAACGTTTAGTTTTTGTTTCATTTTAGTATCCCGACATTAAAAATTTAATGCATTAGTACATAAATTATCAGTTTTGGTCTATTTTAGTACCTAAATTTTTATTTTTTTTTCAAAACTTAACGTTGGATTTTGAACAGAGTACTAAAATGAAACTAATAATTTAGATACTAAACACATAATTTACCCTAACTTTTTAAAAGTAATTAATGTCTTATATCATATCACAATATTATCGAGTCGTATTTTTTTTAAAAAAATTATATTTTTAAAAAACATGAAAATTCTATGCGAAAGAACTGTAGTGTTATACAAATATAATAAAAAACCGTTAATATTTAATGGTCAAAATGGTTTAAAGGGCTTAATTGATTTGTTTTCTCGGTTCAAAAGTTTAATTGATAAAAATTTAAGGTGCAGTAACTTAATTAATTGCAAAAAAGGGACTTAATTAATCTTTACAAATATATGAGGGCTTAATACAATTTTAAATCTATAAATTCGAAAATTAATCATAGATAAACTTAAGATTTACTTAAAATATTAATAAATTTAAACTTTTAACATTCATTGCTCAAATTTGATCTTACCTAATCGAAGTTATTCAATGAAATCATTCTATACCTTACCCCTAATTTTAAATCCTAAATTATAAACCCTAAATTATAATCCCATAACTTATAAATCATAAACCTTAAACTTGAACCATAACTTAGGACAGTGTCGAAAGATAATGAAGACTAGTGGGGCCATAGCCCTTCAAATTTTGAAAATTTAAATTTTAGGCCTTAAATTTTCAAAATATTTAATTTGGCCCCCATAAATTTTTTCTAAATCTATATTGATTTTAAATTTTTTTAAAAATATTTTTGGTTAAATCTCAACCACAATTTTTAAAAATTCTCATTAAGCCTCTAAAAAATTTAAATTTTTAATTATACCTCTTTTTTTTAAAAAAATGTAAATTTATCTCTTCAAAAATTTTAGTTTAAACTTTTATTTAAAAAAAAAATTAAGTTGACCCCCTCAAACTATATCACCAAGTTCCGATACTGATTTAGCTTTATAATTTAAGGTTTTAAGTTAGAGATATGATACAAAATGATGTAGTTAAGTAAATTTGAGGACAAAATTGGTGCAAAAATTCGTAGATACAAAAATAATAAATTGAGTCTATTATAAGAGAAAAGATAATCCTTAAGCCTTTTATTTATATTCCAAAAATATGACGTGGATATTTATTTACTTCCACGTTTTTAGTTTTTTTTTTAAAATCAAAGTTCAAGTTGAAAAGTCAAAATACATTTGGGTATGGTATTCCAACTTAGAGTACAATAAATTTAATTAGAAAAATGTGACTTAAAAAATTATTTATTGTTTTAACACGTTTATCGCATGGGTAGGCACATGTTCTAGATAGCCAAACGGAAAGAAAAAGAACACTAAAGCTTTAATTTAATATTTAACTTTTTTTACAATTAGATATCTGAATTCTATCTCATAGTTCAATTTCATATCTATTTTTATCTAACAAGAAATTTGACATTTTTATTCAAAGTGAAACTTAAATTTATTTTCATGATCCAAATTTATTATTTAGTATGCTACTTATTGTATGATCTTTAAATTTAGGGTAAACTACGTAATTAGTACTTAAACTATCAGTTTTAGTACCTAAACTTTAACTTTTTTAAAACCACACCTAACATTTAGTTTTTATTTCATTTTAGTACCCGCCGTTAAAAACTTAACGCATTTAGTACTTAAACTATCAGTTTTGGCCCGTTTTAGTATCTAAACTTTCAATATTTTGCAAAATTTAACGCAAAATTTTGAACGATGTACTAAAATGAAACAAAAAACTACACTTTAGATATAGTTTTAAAAAAATTAAAAATTTATATACCAAGACTAATAGTCTAAATATTAAACGCATAATTTATCCTAAAATTTATTTCTTTATTTTGTTCAGATAATCTCAAAGAAGAAATAATTATATTATCATACAAGTACTATCATTTTAAATTTACTAACGCGTCATAAGCAGAAAAGAAAATTTATACTAATTAAAGTACAATGATTAAACATCAAAGAGGGATATAAAACTATAATCACACCAACTAAAGGGTAAATTACAAATTTGGTAATTGAATTCTACTCTCTCTCCTATTTCACTTTCTATACTTTAAGTTTTTCCAATTTTCCTCATTGAACTTGTACAGTAGGGTTTTTTTTTGGTCACTCGACCGTTAAATAGTTAAATGTGTTAAAATAGACTGCTATATAGATGTAAAACGACATTGTTTTGGTGAAAATTTTATTTTTTTTAAAACGGCATCATAATTAACGACGTTAATTATTCAATGGAATAGTGACCAAAATAAAAAAGAGTAAAGTTCAGTGACAAAAAAGCTCAATGTATTAAGTTCAGTGAGGAAATTAAAAACATTTAAAGTTAAGTGAGCAAATTAATAGAGAGAGTAAAGTTTAGTGATGAAATTTATAATTTACGCCCAACTGAAAAGACAAAAATCAATACCGGACAATTAAACCGCGACTACTGCTTGTTGCAGAGATCTTCTCGGTGTTTAGCTTTCGATGGGGATGCAATGGCTTGGTGTTGGTATCGAGATAATAGAGAATGAACACCATTATTATCGAAGAAACAAACATCCAGATAATAGAGAATTAACCCTAAACCAGAGAAGAAAAACAAGAGCAACATAAAGCGATCGGAGCCCAGGTGACCAACAATCGCCTCCTCCGATAACTGCTAATTTCACGGCTTCCACCGATACCTCACAGTTTGGCGTGGTTATGAGGTAATTTGCGTGAACGAACTTCCTCGCCTATTGAACGAAGCAACAGAATGCAAGGAAGAAGCAGGTTAAGAGGCAGATGAATTTGATCGTCATCTTGGATCGCCTCGTATCGCCATAGATTAGGGCGCTTCGGATGATGTTGCTCGAGGAATTTCCGAGCCAGGCTCCGATGAGAGAACCTAGGGTTAAGCAAACCGAGCATAGAAAAGTTGCAGCCGAGGTGTTCGACCCAATGACTGTTAAAGCGTTGCTGACTTCCATCTTTATCAGCCTGCAAACTAAAAAAAATCAAATTTTTTAAAAGGTCCCTGTACTATGCTCTTTTAGTGAATTCTCTCTCTCTACTTTAGTTTGATAATTTTTAGGTTACCTAGAATCAAAGACATAAATGTGATGCATTGGATACCAAGTCTCTTTGACAGAAAAGAAAAAAAGAAAGAAAAGAAAGGTTTTACCTGCAAAACTCCTTCAACCCAAGCTTCTTTATCGTGGTTTTCGAAGCCAATGACGGTGGTGTGAGGACGATGCAAGTACCTGTACAAGAGGAACAGATGGTAACCAAGCATCATGATCAACCCAGCAGGGACCAAAATCAAATCCACTTCCTCCTCCTCCAAAGCCATTGCATCGGCCTCTTCTCAATCTGGGCTTCAAAGCTTGAAAATTGGCTTGAATTTGAGATGGTAATGCAAGGGGTTGAAGATATACTGTTGCTTGTTGTACAAGGAGCATTTCAATGGCGTCCTCGCCATTGTTTATCTGATGTCAAGCTTTGACTTTCACATTCTTGCGGAAGACGCATTACCAACTTCTTCTCGCAATTTATATAGGGTCAACTACATTAATGGTCATGGAACAATGTAAAAATAATTGTTTTAATCAACAATATTTTAAATATTAGGGTAAATTACGTATTTAATATATAAATTATTAGTTTTGATCCGTTTTAACACTTAAATTTTTAATTTGTTCAAAATCATACATAATATTTAGTTTTTGTTTTATTTGAATACCTCATTGTTAAAAAATTAACGACATGCATTTTTTATATGTAAATTATATCATTCGGTTATCTTCTCACTCTCATTTTGGCATTAAAGTTTAAAATTTTCCAATTTTTAAAGTGGGAAACGCAAGTCCTTTGGATTCCTATGGTAACGGATGCTCTCGTTAAATTAGACAAGTCAAAAACCATTGGGTTCCATAATATATCTCAACACACAAAAACCATTCAAAATAATAGAGGGAATCAAAGTAATTGTTACCCACACAAAGTTGGTTCCAAAATATCGTGAAAAGAGGTTAGTTCTGGTTAACCAGAGTCGTTCGCCAAACGTTTTACCTATTCTTGTTTCTTCCCCACCCCAAACCCAGAATCTAAATCAACCCAAGGAAAGGATGAGAAAATGTTGACCATAACTATTAACATACCCAAACAACATTGTGTTTCTTTTTTGTTCTTCGTTTTCTCAAGATTTTGTTGACGCCGACCGAGAAGAAGAAGTAAAACGACGTAAAGGAAGAGAAATGGGAGCTTATAGGGCCGATGATGATTATGATTACTTGTTTAAGGTCGTCTTGATCGGTGATTCTGGCGTCGGGAAATCCAACCTTTTGTCTAGATTCACGAAGAACGAGTTCAGCGCCGAATCGAAGTCGACCATCGGTGTCGAGTTCGCAACTCGGAGCATTCGTGTCGATGATAAGGTCGTTAAAGCTCAGATTTGGGACACTGCTGGGCAAGAAAGGTAAATCATTTTGTTTGTTTTTTTTTTATCTGGGTAGGTCTGTAAATGAACGGAATGAACATGAATGATGGTACGTTTATCTTCGATCGTTTAACTTTATCCGAACGAACACGAATAACTAAACGAACGGAATTTTTTGTTTCCGTTCATTCATTAAGAAATTTAGCTTGTTCATGTTCATTCACGTTCGTTCGTTAATAAACGCACGTGAACAAAAATAGACGAAAGAACATAAAATTAATTGGGTTTACAAATTATCAAACATTCACGAAAATAAATGAACGAACGAGCAATTTGTTCGTGTTCGTTCATTTAATTAAACGAACATAAACGAACTTTCTGCCAAACGATTCGTTGAATGTTTGATTCGTTTACATGCCTAGATATGAGTAGATCTGAGTTTTATAGTAGATTTTGATTTCACGTGATCGTATGCATGAAATTTATGGCAAGGGATATCCTGATTCCTGACTAACATTACGTAGGGATCGAATTATGTCAAATTAAATTAGAGAAATTAAATCTAAAATTTCAGAATAATAGAAGGATTAAAGTCATAACTAGATCTCCTTAGGGTGCAATCTGGTTCAAAATTTGGAATTTTAGGTTTGACAATTTAGGGTACATTTTATCTTGGAAGTGTCATTTTTCTACTGATTTTTTTACAAGAACATGAAAATTTCAAAATGTTGTTCTAACATCCCTATTCCATACCCTGTTTTGCCAAAGATATCGCGCAATTACCAGTGCATATTATCGAGGCACGGTCGGAGCTCTACTAGTTTACGATGTTACTCGTCGCGTTACGTTTGAGAATGTACAGAGGTGGCTCAAGGAACTCCGAGATCACACCGACCCGAACATTGTGATCATGCTAGTCGGGAACAAGGCTGACCTGCGCCATTTGCGAGCCGTTGAAGTCGACGATGCCAAAGCTTTTGCGGAAAGAGAGAATACCTTCTTCATGGAAACATCTGCACTCGAGGCTCTGAATGTCGAGAAGGCTTTTACCGAAGTGTTGGCTCAGATTTACCATGTCGTGAGTAGGAAAGCTCTTGATATCGGAGATGATCCGTCGGCTTTACCTAAAGGCCGGACGATTAATGTCGGATCTAAAGTTGATGCATCGGCAGTGAAAGGAGCCGGATGTTGCTCGTCTTAGTTACACAGATGAATGCATTCTTCAAGATGTTTCATCTTTTGAAATTCTTTTATGCCAAGCTTGAACGCGCACACAAATGAGCATCAACATGTATTTAGCCGATTGAAATTGCGGTTTGGATTAGGTTAAAACACAAATTCTTTTGTGATTTTCGGTTTGGAAACACTAATACTTATTCAAAAATTGAAATAAAAAAGAAAATTAAGGGTGCGTAATCGATTGGTTCGGTAAAAATCGAAAAAACTAATTTAATCGATAAACCCTATACTTTAACACACTTTTTGACTTTTTTCCTCTAGTTTATTTCAAGTACGAGAAATAAAATATATATTTATTAATTTGGAGTAAGTACAATGTAACATATGTTAAAAGATAAACTTTCAACCTTTCGATATTAAATACTTACACTTTTGATATCTATATTGCTCGAACCTGAGTCTTCAATTTAAATTTAAATTTTACAAATTATAAATATACTTTAAAAATAAAGTGGGTTTGTCAACTGTATATATTTTCACAAATTATATAATATGGCATACTAAAAAATAAAGCATCTTGTTGTCAATTTAAATTTTAAAAGTATTAATTATTGATAAGTTGATTTATAAATTAATGATACCAGTTTTTGAGTCACACTTTTCATTAGATTCTTTTAAATAATTTTTGTTGGGATATGGGTTCAGCGATCACCCTTAGGGATTATATCGTGTATGGGCGCGATATCAGGTGCGTGACAGCCCAACCTGCCGAGGTCCACGTGTGCCTTACGAAGCCCCTAGGCCAGCTCGCAGCACGCTATAGATGCGGAGCTTTGCAATGCCGTGGTGAATTATGGGGGTATCCCACAAGAATCCACATTGGTTTGGGGGAAACCAGTGATCACCCGCTACAAAGATATGAGGTTAAAATGGATCACTTACTTATTACCAATTGGTTTTAAAAAGGAATGATGACTATTCGCTTTATAACTCTGTAGTTAAGCGTGTTTGAACTAGAGTAATCCAAGAATGGGTGACCCACTGGGAAGTTGTTCAATAAAATGAATGACTCGATCCTATCAATTTTTCTTCTTCAAATATTTTTTATTTATTTTTTAATTAATTAAATTTATTAAAAACAATTATGTCATAAAAATAATTGAAGTATTTATAATTTAGCTAATTAATAATAGTTAGTAAAAGTTATGTATGAGTATAAATTGAATTAATTAAAATAAGGAAAAATTCCATCAATCAGATGATGACACGAGGTATTACATACGTGAATGATAAAAATTATTAATTTAAACTAAAATTAGAAATAAATTGATAAAATGTGTAAGTAATGAGTATCAAAAGTATAATTATACAAAAAAAATTAATTATCATATTATTTTCGTCAAATATTCATTTTGGGTGACTTGATAGATAGGAATTTAATAACTCTGTGGTAAAAAAAGCAATCCTATACTTTAGTGACGATCTAAATAGTTTACCCATAAATTTATAGAATCAATTTTAAAAAAGGGTAAACTACATGTTTAGTATTTCAACTATCAATTTTATCCCATTTTACTATCTAAATTTTTATTTTTTTCAAAATTATACCAACATTTAGTTTTTTTTATTTTAGTATCCCGCTGTTAAAAACTTAATTGCATTTAGTACCTAAACTATCACTTTTGGTCTGTTTTAGTACCTAAACTTTCAATTTTTTCAAACTTTATGTTAAGTTTTTAACGAGATATTTAAATGAAACAAAAACTAAACATTAGGTATGATTTTGAAAAGATTAAAAATTTAAGTATTAAAACAAACCAGAATGGATAATTTATGTACTAAGCACATAATTTATCTAATGGAAATCAGATTCAGTATATATTTTATGGAAGGAAAAGTTGAATTTTGTTATTTCACGTAAAGAAGCTTCGATGTCCGGTTCCGTGAGATCCATGGCGGTGATAAGGAGTGAATGCAAAGGGAAAGGAACGTCGTTCGTTGTCTTGGAGCCGAGAGGACAACCCTGGACGTGCGGAACGATGACCGGAATAAAGGCAATGAGATCCGGGTAGAGATTGAAAGGCTCGACCTTGCGCAAGGTTCCGGCAGGCAAGAAGAAGGAAAACCAGTGGCCTCGTTCCGCCAGCTCAGTTGGTAAAGCACAAGGTTCTTAACCTTGTGGTCGTGGGATCGAGTCCCACGGAGGGTATTTTATAATTCGAGGTCTCTTACGGAAGCTGCTCTCAACCTGGTGTTGGGGGTAGCCTACTATCTTACCTCTCCCTTACCCCATATATATGGGAAAAAGGGACATCCATTTAACCGGTTCCTATAATATTTGTTAAAAGGCATAATAATAAAATTTTCCCTAATGTTTGTACAATGGTGATTTTATTCTCTATCATTTTTTTGAGTATTTTAGTCTCAAAGTTTTATTTTAGAGCAAAATATCTCCTGATTAGATAAAAATTATTAGTTAATTAACTGTCAATATTTTATACGGACATGGATACAACGATTCTTAAATTGTACAACTAAAATTATTAAATTCATATAATTATATATGTATAACTAAAATTTTAAAATTTAATGTACTTTCGTACAATTATTTTCATATACTCGTAAATATATTTTATCTACTTTGAAATTGACTTATAATGAATTTTTTCATAGAAAACCGTTGGTTTTATTAGAAGATATCTAGAATTATAATGAAGATTTATAACTATAACTGTAAACGTAAACTAAATTATAATTAGGATATTCTCCCATAAGCATTGACACAAAAACTAGTCACCTATATCACACAAAGACTAAAGAAGGAAAAGGTTAAAAAACCTAACCAAAGTACTCAAATAAAATAAAAATATGAACAAACTTAACTGCATTGCCAAACGAACCACAAAACGGGATGAAGCTATTGAAAGACCACCGACAAATCGCAAATCAGAGTCAAGCGACGTGAGAAAACTATCTACGACCGCAAAACACATATCCAAATCGATCTAAGGGTCCAAAGCAAGGAAGATCATCATGATAACAAATAAGCATCGTCTTGATCAGTCGTGACAATATGAAATCCAACCTTGAGAAAAAAGATAATCGAAAATAACATGTCATAAAGACAATTATTCATAAAAAACTAAAAAAAATAAAGAGAAAAAACAACCGACAATCGATAAGTAGTATCAAAATTGATACCGTCGTCGACTAAACATAATCAAAATAAAAAAAAATTGTAAAGAAAAAAAAAAGGAGAGAGGGAAGGAAAGAACGACTAGGGTTTAACTTATAATGAATTTATCTACTGGTAGTTATATATTATTTAAAATTAAATCTTATATTTTAAATAACATAAATAAAAATATAAAAAGGATTAGGTCAAAATTAAAGTATATACCATTAGTAATAATGACTATTTACCTCATTGCGAATCCTTTATAAAAAATAAATAAACGATAAATCATAAAATATTTATTATTTCGGACTACATAATTAAGGGTAAAACATACAAATGGTCTTTAATTATAGGACAATTTTTCTTGGATACTATAACTATTAAATGTTACAAAATAGTTCTCTGACTATAAGATATTGCTTTGTTGAGTCCTCAAACTATTAAAAAATGCAAAATAGTCATCTAACTATTCATATGTTCTAAACTTGTATTTTTTCATTAAAAAATTGGTGGTTGTCTAAGGTAGACATAAACCATGTGACTGAGATATGATAAAACTTAACTTCAGAATTATTTGAGTTGTATTTTGTAGATCGACTCTCCCTTTATATTATTCTGTCGAGCAAGTGCTTGAAACATTATGTCGTCCAGCCAATGCTTTAAAACAACAATGATGCTAATAAACATAATTAAAATATAGTTTTTATCACATCTCAGTCAATAAGTTAACGTTCAACTTAAACGACTATTATTTTTTTTAACGAAAAAAGACGAGTTTGTAGCATATGAATAGCAAAGTGATATACTTTATAACTTTTGTTGAGAGGCAAGATATGTAATCGCTATGCTTTACTCAGAAAGTGATTCAAGTTCTACCCAGTCTGATAATGTAACCAATTCTGTCCCTTCAAGAAGAGGAATGATTGCTGGACTGGAGCCAGTCAGTTTTATTACCTTGGCAACAACATCTTGGGGTTCTAGGGAGAAAGCGGGTTAGTTCTCAATGTTGTTGGCTATTAAGTTTATTTCATAATGTTTTAGAGTACAAAATGATGTTCGTGTCCTGTAATTCCAATGTTATTGCCATGCTTCTGGCATCTCAAATCCTGTTTTCGATGATTAAAATGTTTATATAGCTTTCGGCTGTACTAAAATCATCTTTCATATGCATTTTGCAGTTTCTAATATTACTCTTTGTGGTGCCTCAGCTTCCATTTCTCTTAGGAGTTCCTTTTTAGAGAAAATTGCGGCACCAATTGCTCCATTTGTTGTTGGTAGAACCGGTAAGCAACTATTTCTCAGTGATGGCAAACCCAGCAGGCCACCACTGCTTTTGAAGATGGCATCTGATTGTGAAGAAGGAAAATTTTTGTACGTAAAGTGAGCTTTATACAGTGACTAAAAGACGCATTTTTTTCCGACTACCACCACCACTACTCGTGGGGATACCATGGAGCCAGGTCTAGGTTGTTTCTATGACTGATTTTACGATTATAAATTTCTATTTTGCAGATCTGCCCTCGGTGCATTTAGGTCTCGCACTTTGTATGCAAATGTATCTTATGATCGTATCCTTCCGAATCATTTGTCTTTTACTATATTTAACTACATATGTTGCTTTTCTACTCGTTTTTTGTCTCTGCCGCCCAATTGGAACTTTCGTTGACATCGAATAGATATGGTCGGTTGGCGTACATCCTCCATTAGGAGGGAGAAAGAACTTGTCAAGGTAAACTTTCTTGTAGAACAATCAACACTTTCAGTTCGAATTAATGAGGGAAAATAGAAGTACTGAAAATGAGTCATCCCGGTTTCATGCATACGCCTGACATTTATATGGATTC